GATGTAAGTTATAGTTAGTCCTTGTTTATGATATTTCTATGAATTATATAAATAACTGCAAAACTAATTAATCCTTAACCCTTGTTTTCTTTTCTTTCTTTCTTTCTTTTCTTGAGATGGAGTCTTCCTTTGTCACCCAGGCTGGAGTGCAGTGGTGTGATCTCAACTCCCTGCAACTTCTGCCTCCTGAGTTCAAGAGATTCTCCTGCTTCAGCCTCTCAAGTAGCTGAGACTACAGGCATGCACCACCATGCCCAGCTAATTTTTGTATTAGTAGAGGTGGGGTTTTGCCATGTTGGCTAGGCTGGTTTTGAACTCCTGACCTCCGGTGATCCGCCCACCCCAGCCTCTCAAAGTGCTGGGATTACAGGTGTGAGCCACCACACATGGCCTTAACCCTTGTTTTCTAAGATCCCAGTGGCACAGGAATAATTGTAAGTTTTACCTGGGTTACAATAGAGCTGCTTGGCTGAATGTTGTTTTTTTTTTTTTCTGAGGCAGAGTCTCACTCTTGTAACCCAGGCTGGAGTGCAATGGCGCAGTCTCGGCTCACTGCAACTTCTGTCTCCCAGGTTCGAGAGATTCTCCTGCCTCAGCCTCCCAAGTAGCTGGGATTACAGGTGCCCACCACCATGCCCGGCTAATTTTTGTATTTTTAGTAGGGACAGGTATTCGCCGTGTTGGCCAGGCTGGTCTTGAACTCCTGACCTCCGGTGATCCACCCGCCTTGACCTCCCAAAGTGTTGGGATTACAGGTATGACCTGCTGCGCCCAGTCCTTTTTTACTAATTCTATTTCCCTTCTTTGGCTGCTTCTAATTCTTAGGGATTGAACACAGCATGACAGGGACTGTAGAATTGTGGGAACTGACAAAGCTGAAGACTTTTAGTAAGTCCCTGCTTGACACCACTATAACCATCTCACATGTGGCATATCACTTCATTGTGGCTGCGTAAAGATCTGTGATTCCTATTCCTAGCAGTATCCCACAGCTAGCTCACCCGCAGCCCTGGTAGAAAGTAGTCTTCTTGCTGAATGAACATTCTTTCGCCTCTTCAGAAGAACCTCTCTCCCCACGGGAGGGTGGAATTTAGGATCTCTAAGCATCCTTTTAACTCTATGCTTATATAATTTCATGTAAATAATATATAAGAGAAATGTTTAAAATTTGACCTTTCAATGCTTTTTAAAAAAGTAATGGATTTTTAGAAAGGGTTGTACTGAACAAAAGGAGCATAATATAATGTAATCCATTTCAGGCCCATAGCCAGGAGCAGGTTATAAGCTTAGTAAATGAGTGTAATAAAGGTAATTCAACAGAAAGGAGGCAGGACTGGTCTAAAAGGGAAGAGCCACACTTGAAATTAGCTTTACAGTGTCCTTTGGAGAAGGGAAAAGTAAGGAAGCAATTAATGGACTGAACATGTGACCCTGACTCTTACTGAATAGGGGAGACAAAATGGAGAGTGGGAGAGAAGGAAGTAAGGTACCATAAGAGATAAGACGATGCTGCAGAAAGGCCAAGAGGGAGAAATTTGTGACTCTTGTACTTAAATCAGGACATTTCTAAGAATAACTAAAGACTATTTATAGAAGGAATAGGGCTTAATTATTTTAATTATTATCTTGGCCAAATTTTCACTGGTAAATCAATCATTCTTCCTTCCCTCCCTCCCTCTCTCCCTTTTTCCCTCCCTCCTTTCTCTCTCCCTCCGTCCCTCCTTCCTTCCTTCCCTCCCTCCTTCCTTCCTTCCTTCCCTCCCTCCTTCCTTCCTTTTTTGCTCAAATTCTTCTCTGACTTATGGTACATATATTTCTGTTACATATGCTATACTGGTCATATGTGTGAAGCCTGCATTAATGCATTCAGAATTTTTCATATTGAGGCTGGGTGCAGTGGCTCACGCCTCTAATCCTAACACTTTGGGAGGCCAAGATGGGCAGATCACTTGAGGTCAGGAGTTGAAAACCAGCCTGGCCAACATGGTGAAACCCTGTCTCTACTAAAAGTATAAAAATTAGCTGGGCATGGTGGTAGGTGCCTGTAATCCCAGCTACTTGAGAGGCTGAGGCAGGAGAATCTTTTGAACCCAGGAGGCAGAGGTTGCAGTGAGCTGAGATCATGCCACTGTGCTCTAGCCTGGGCGACAGAGCGAAACTCTGTCTAAAAAAAAAAAAAAAAAA